TATACTAATTTAACACGTTGATTATTATTATAGACACCCAAATATTCTACGTCTATATGGACATTTCTATGATGAAACACATGTATTTCTGATTCTTGAATATGCAGCTGAAGGTGAACTTTATAAGCATTTAGAAAAGTGTACCAAATTTACTGAAAAACAGGCGTCAAGGGTTTGTGAATTTTATTCAATCAATCAGTTAGTGTCTAAGGAAGATCCTAATAATGATTATAATTCAATTACCAATCAAAATATCTATTAGTATATTGCTCAGGTGGCAAGTGCTTTAGTTTATCTTCATCAAAAGCATATTATACATCACGATATCAAGCCTGAAAATCTTTTGTTGGATTTTAATGATGAACTTAAAATAGCCAATTTTGGTTTGTCAGTACATACTCCTAGTCAAAGGTAAATAATAATAATATAATAAATATTATTATAATAGTATCTTCACTAATGATATTATATATCTATAACATCCATTACACCATCTAATAAGATGCACAACAGTTTGTGGTACATCGTATTACCATTCACCAAAAATGATCGAGTGTTCAAAAATTGATTTATGGTCTCTTGGCATCTTGTGTTATGAATTATTGTCTGGCACTGCACCATTTGCGGAAAAGGATTGTTCTGCTACGTATGAAAGAATCAGAAGAGTTGATTTTAAAATGCCTCAACACTTTTCAGAAAATGCTAAGCACTTGATTAGATCGGTAAAGCACTTTATCATTTGAAAAATCAAATTATTCCTTTTCTATATCTTTATCTGAATATTTTTATATGATTTCTTCACACACATACACACACATTAAAAAAAATTTTTAATTAAATTAAAGCTTCTTCAAAAAGATCCTGATAAACGATTACCTTTGGAAGAAGTCTTGAAGCATCCTTGGATCTTAAAGCATAAGAATCCAACCTAATAAGGATAATAATATTAATTTTGTAAAGAACTTATCTGCTCATCAAAAAATCATCACGGGAGAAAAATATTCTCTCATTGTATTTTTTCTTTATTTTAAAAAAAAAGAATGCTTAACAATAGTATTTGAAGTAATTTAAGTAATTACAATTATCCGAAGTAATTTATTTTTAAAAAAATACAAATTAAACAATTAAAATAAACTATATAATATACAATAATAATAATAATGACACAATATATTAAAATTTTCCATTTTCAATTACAATGACATCTATTCCTTATTATCATTTTTGATGATCAAAATAAATAATTCAATATAGCAACAAGATATTGCAATAAGCAGTCATCCTCAAAAACAGTCACTGGTATCACCAAGCCTAATTTATTAAAAATTATATATAAAGTAACAACACTTTTAAATGAAAAATCACATTACATAAGATTTATTAATTAATTAGGAAAAGTATATCCATCACTCATTATTATAACATATATGTATTAGTATAACTAACGTTACAACGTGATAACATTTGTCTTATATCATCTTGATGCTAGTCGGGTTGCTTTTCCTTCTTGCTCATTTCTGACAATTTCTTCAACAACTTGTTCAAAAGCTTTTCTTTTCTTAACAGTTTTTTTTCATTTCTTGGTGATGGCAAGGATCTTTTATTTATTTATTTTTTTTTAGAAATAGCACTTGATTCAACAAATGAGTCCTCAAGTTTTTTTAGTGTTGCTTGATTCTTGTCAATATTTTTTCCTTTTTTGTTATTGTTTGATGATAGTGATGAGGATAACAATGATGATGATGGCAATTCTATAACTGGATATGTAAATTCTAACTCCACAGTCTCCAAATGCAAAAAATCATTCCTGCTGGTACTAATTTTCCAACTGTTGAAATTACAGTTTTTTTTAGGTTATCCTTGATGTATTGAAATTTATATAAATAATAAATACATTTATGTATCTAATATAATTTATATCATAAAAGAAAATTTTTCTTTACCTAGAGTTGATAGGATATGATGCCAAAATCTTTGTTTCGAGATTTTTTGTTTTGGTGACTCCGTTGTAAATCCTCTTCATTAAACCAATACTCTCATATCCAATTTACTATCCTTTTTGTGTGTTGCGCTAATGTATGTTCCAGTGCATTTAAATAGGAGGAAGGGTTTGTAGTATATGCTTGTTGTCACCAGTACTAGAACTGCATCTACAACAAACATCAACGCTTCCAAAAATAGTATTGGGTGATAACCTGTTTATATTTTTAGGAAAGCAATCAAAATGGGTAAAAATGATTCCAGAGATGTAGCCATCGATTGGCTATGTGAGCAACTTTTGAAAGAAAAAATTATAAAAGACAATCTTGGTTTTATTATATTGGATCTTCTAAGAACGTTGCCTACTTCAAAAATCCGAAATGATCCCAGTGAAATCACATTAATTACAAATAATCTGGACAGGATAATGAAAGGACTTTTTCATGATCCAGACAAGACCTTAGTACAATGGCCTAATACTGAATTACACGAAAGCAAAATAAGAAACTTAGCCAGTAGAGCAAAGCAGCCTGATTTCACAGTTTCTTTAATACATCAACAACAAATTGATTCAGTGATTTTTGTTGGAGAAGTAAGTCCACCTTCTGAAAGAAATAATGTTTTCAAAAATTCAAATGATTTGATCCGGTTAGGTACTTTTATGAAGGATTGTATGGACTCATCCATAGCTAAAGGTGCAGATATTGAAATATTAGGATTTCAATGCATTGAGTATACTGTGGATTTTTATGTGATGGATTTAGCTGGTAGGGCTACTTACACAATGTCACATCTAGGACAAATCAAGATTCCTGCAGATTTCAAAGATATTTATTCATTCGTTGATGATATAGGATTGCTATTAGGAATAAAAGATATCTTTACAAGATCGTTTAATAATTTTTATGAAAAGCTTCGTGTACCAAGTCAATTGGAAATAAAACCTACATTGAAGAAAAAAACATTAAGCACTGAAGAATTTGAGAAGTTGGTCAGTAAAACAAGAGATAGAAAAAGGTTGTGTCCATTGTGGTATGGAAGTGTTTAAAGGATTTTTCTTTCTCAATATATATTATTTTGATTTTAATTGTTTTTACTTCATCTGAAAATTTGTGTTGTCTAAATAATAAGTTTTTATTATAAAAAGTTAATCTTTCTTGCTTAGTTTAGATTTTTAATAATTAAGTAGTTAAACATTGAATATTTAGTAATCTGAGGCTATGGATATTGAGATTATCTGTTAATTAATATATATCTAATTTTTTAGTTGTTTTTAACAATTTCATTTTAAATATGCTTTTATTTGTTATAATAATGACTAGCTTAAAATAAAAAATTGTAAATACAATTAATAATGATGATTAAATTTGATCCCTGAAATCCTTGTAAGACCAATGTTCACTTTGTCTGGTTTTGTTGCAGCATGCCCCATATCAAATGCAATTGTTCTAGATAGCATTTCAAAATTTATAAAAATTTGATAAGTCAGTCACATGTGCTTGCATCTGCTATCGTCACATTTTAGACCAGATATAATTTAATTATTATTTATACAAAAGGACAAAAAAAACTTAAAGGACAAACAGCAAAAAAACGTACACGGAGAACTCGTGATTTTACCTTTCTGGGTGGTTGTTAACATTCTCAATAATATATTATACTGTTCACTCTATATAACGAATATGTGATTTTGTGTCTCTGTTTGCTATAGGTAGATATGTTATTAGACTTCGTTATAGAAAAAGAAATCAATTAAATAAAATGAAAGAGACAAAAAGAGAAGTTCATAGTGCGATTTTACTTATTTTACATGTATAAAGAAAGATTTGTTATATAGTTACAACCGTATATGGAAATAGTAAAACAAAGGGTTGTACTTGGGGAATAAAAGATAGTCCTTATGCATCTTCGCCTCATCATTTCTTTCTTTATTGTTAAAGTAATACCAAAAAGAAAAAGAAAAATTCAAGAGAAAGACCTTTCATTTGTTTTATTGAATAAATTATTAAAACCTATTTAATATGATAACAGATGACTATTTTTATTATATGTAAGATAGAAAAATATACGTAGTTCCTACTTTTCACATCTGGTGGTGGGGGTTAATTTTCTTGGACTTTTACTAGAAGCGAAGGAAATTAAATAGTAACTTTCACTCTATTAAAGAATTGTATATTTTTATTATAAAAACCGAGAACGGATTGTGACATCAGCGGTCAATATCCATGGAGTTTTATTAGAAGCAAAGTCTTTAATGTAGTAGTGATTTCAAAACTCGGACAGCAAAGACAGCTCTCAAACGCGTTTTTATTTTATTATTAATATTATTGTGTTTTTACTATTACGCGTAATTAACTTCAAAGCCAAAAATCATCAATTTAATACAAATCGAATATATATAAAAGTTACTTACTCTACATACTTGTCTATATGTGTTTCAAACTTGACAATTTGAACACGGTTTGATATTTTCATTTTATCAAATGTAGTTTTGTTTGATAATAAAAATGATTTTTTTAATTTGTGAAAAACTTTTATTTTTTAGAGAATAATTCAAAAATAAATACTACACTAATATTAATTAATACCATACTCTCTATAATAACAAAAATTGGGAATTTTGAGTTAGGTTGAACTCGTAGAAATTATGAAAATATTAATATATAAATATATAAAATATATAAAATATTAATATATAAATATATAAAATATATAAAATATACTTATATATATATATATATATATATATATATATATATATATATATAGCGTTGTATGTGTATGCTAGCAAATAATATTTTTAACAAATAATAATTTGCATTTGAAAAATGAAAATAAATAAAATCGTTTAAAATATTTAAAGGCTGTTTCCAACAAAATCATAGTTGGAAATTAATGTTTGGACGAATGGTGGGAATTAAATAAAAAAGATTGAATGAGTGAATGAATGTGAAAGAGAAAGAAATTAAGGGAAAACACACATGTATATGTATGTATATAAATTCATTTATTCATTCATATTATTCTTCACGATTACCTATTTCATCATCTCTAACATTATAAGGTTTAAATTCATTATCTTCAAAATCATCATCAGTACTACCACGACGACTACCATGGCTACCTTTTCTTTTTCTACTTGTAGATCTTGAAGCTAACCTTTTACTAACAGAAACACCATCATCATCATAATCATCATATTTTTCTTTCGATTTTTCAGGGTCTGATGATGAATCTCTACTTGTTAGTTTTGGTGTTGTGGAACGACCTCTTCTTGACGATAGAGAATCAATAGAGGCGTCAAGATTATCATTGGATGATAGTAAATTACTACTATTATTATTATTATTTGTCGGTGTTGTTAATAATGTTGACGACGATGTTGGCGGTGGTGGTAGTGCTGAACTAGTACCGTTTCTTAAAGATCTTCTTGATGTATTAAAATGATTACAATTTTTACAATAATATTGAATATCATCAAATTCAGAAGCAAAAGCCAGACCATTCCAAGTATAACAATTCTTACAAATTAATGCATATTTTTGTTCATCTTCACCAACAATTGCATCAACCAATTTATCATACCAATGACGTTGATTTTGTATATTAGTTTTATCGATTGATGATGATCTAGATATTTGATGATCAATTATTCCATTACTACTACCATTTATTCCATTACTATTTTTATTGCCATTTGTTCCATTATTGTTGTTATTGTTATTGTTATTGTTATTGTTATTTGGTGGTGGTAAACGTTGACGTAAAGAATTTGGATTGATGAGCGATTGAAGTTGTTGTTGTGGAGCACCAGATTTTAAACTTCCTAGTGTTGTTATTAAAGGAATTTTTTGACCAGGGGTCATTGGTTTTGTTGGCGAATCATATCTTTCTAATAAAGTTTTAGTAGTATAATATCCAGTTCTCTTTTTTAATTCTTCTACTTTAAGGCTTTGTCTGGCTCTTAAATGCTCAAGTTGAGATATTTCGTTGGTTTCTTTTCTTTTGTACCATAAAGCGAGAAATCTATAACCAATCACTATGAAAAAAGGACCTGTCAATACAGGAGCCACTTTCATGAAATCCCAATTTTCTTCCTCATTAGACATATAAACAAAATACCAATATCCCATTACATATGCAACATATGCCAATAATGAATACACTATCCAAATTATCAGTGCATTACGTTCTCGTATTCTTATTTCTCCTAGACGTACTTCTGCTTTACGAATATTATCATCAAGTTCTGATAAAATTTTTTCATAATTATCATTATTTTGCGACCTAAAACGAGATATTACAGCTCCCATTATTGTTATAAAGTCAATATTATAAAAATGTTGTTTGTTGTTATAAGTATTTGTCAGAATCTATGGATATATATATTCGTATATTTCTAGATTTGGAAAAAAAAACGGCACTTTCTTTTTGACTATAATAATAATTATCTAAGAAAAGATTATATGATGAAAGGATGATCATATTTTACTTTTTTACAAGCTACACAAACTTCTAAATAGAGTTTATTTTCATACAAAAAACTATAAAGATTTTATTTACCTTTAATTTTAAAGGCGTTTTTTATCATCATAGATCTTCTTGCTGTCTTTCTCTATAATTTATACAGTAAGCTAAATTTGGTTTTATATTATTGTTTACTACCATCAAAAATTTAGAATTCATAAATTAGAAACATAAATCAATAAACATACATTATATTAAAAAATGATAAAATACATGCATTTAATACTGTACAATTAAAAAACCATTAATCTTTATTAATTATGACAAAAGATTGGGGTTATCAAATACAATTATAAAAGTGCAAGTTGTTTGTTATTTATAATAATAAATCTATTCATATTTATAGATTTGCCAGTATTGTGTCACTCATGGTTCATTAAGGACCCAGAGCAATACATATAGAGATAAATAGTAGATTCAAAAATTTTATAATAATTCTAAGCAAGGTTTTCCTTTATTTATTATTATTAAATTATTTGCAGTGCATAATTGCATAATTGTACTATATAAAAATGGCTCCAAGATGATTTTTATGCTGATGTGACAAATTATTTGTATTGCTTGCAAATATGTAGTAGATCATAAACAAAAGTCAACAATTGATAACCATTTAGAAAATAGAAGCATAAAATCCCAGTATTGGAAATCCTCCTTTAAATCAAAGTATGATTGATTTATGTAGAGTCCAAAATGTACCAGAAGAATCTTTAATATCAAGCCTTTCAACTTCCCTATAACAGATTATGTAAACATGTTAATGGGCATTCAGCATTGCCTCTTTAAAGAAATTCAATGCTTTAACCCAAAATTTATTAGAGCTCCTTCATCTCAAAAAAATATTCTGCTATATAAATTCAGATGAATTGATCAATGAATGGAATATTTATTGTGGAGATAATGAATTTTTTGGAGGAAACTTTAGATTTAAATAAGTATTGGCTGATAAACAACAAATCTTACCATTACTTTCTAGGATTGCTTTGGTGTATATATGGCTTCCAGTGTCTGGGTGGATGTAGAACAAAGCTTTTCAAAAATATTTTAAGTGATAGATAACATAATCTCAGAAAATTCATTCAAAAATAATAAAGGTGGTTTATTATAAATGTTGCATTATGGTGTTCTGTGGCTGTTGATCATCAAACATATGTTACATCAATATGACAAATTATTATTAAGTACTTTAGGAAATTTGCCTTTAGATTCAAATATAAGACCAACATATAATTTGATAAAATTAGGCTTAGAAGATTATGAAGAAAATGAATTAGTTCTTGATATCATACATGATTTAATGATATTTTTTCAAGAAAATAAGTGTAATATATTGGCTGACATAAAGGTAAATTATAACTAAAATTATATCTATATCTATGTATAACTGATTTTCACTGGTTGTTTCAAAGGGCTTTTATAAATAATTCTAGTTCATTTTTTTCTAATGCACACAGTTGAAGATGTCTTTCAAAAAATTGCTTAAATTTTACTTTCTCATAACAAATCCTTAAATCTATTTTTATGGTTTTACACATCCTGGACAAAAGTATAGGGACACCTGCAGATCATTGCAAATAATTGAATAAAGTGACATAACAAGAACTAAAAATTTTACTATCCCAATCACACCTGCTTATTAAGTAAAAATTAATATTCATATCAAATACTATAATACACTGAAGTTTCACCGCATATAAATAAAAACATTGTTGTTTTACAGACCTTAAAAGATAAAAATGAAAATTTCGGAATTTTCTGAAAAATGTTTGACTTTAAAATTGACCACAATAGCAAGTTCTAATGACCTTTGTGGTATAAGTAAAAAATGTGTCTCGTGTTTAAATCTAGCTATTTCTAAAATTTTAGAGCGTTTGGTGAATTAATTAATGAGGAAAAAAATAAGTCATAAAAAATTTTACAAAATGATTCAACCTCAAACTGCTTGCTAATTTGAAACATAAAAGGCATTAAAAAATATATGAAACTATTTTAAATTGATTATATTTTATTAAAAAAAATTAATATCTTGTCGGGTTTCCTCTACTTCTAAAACAGCATCAACCCTTCATGGCATATTATCCTATTAATTTATTAATTTATTTTAATATTGACAATCTTTGAAATTGGAAAAAATCAATCCATTTAGTATTTTTGTCCATAAATTGTATATAAAATTATGCGGAATTACTGAATATATGCTTAAAACCTTGCAAGACTAATGGTTTATCAGAGAGACTTCATAAAACATTAGATGTGTGCCTAAAATTGAATCCTGTGTTCAAGTTGATTTAGAAGTTGGTTTAATGGTTAAACAATCTTTGTTACAATATGGAGATATATTTGGATTACCATCACCAATGCATCATTTTGATGATTCTGATGCCTTTATATATCTTCCAATAGGGAAAACATATACTTCAGTATATAATGAATTTAAAACCCATTTTTATGTTGAGCATGATGAAAATATACAAATAATTTCAAATAGAAATTTTCAAAGATTATGACATGAATTATCCCAATTATTAAATTTCAATCTTCTTGTTACAATTGTGAGATGTTTAAAGCAAAAATGACTGTTGTAAAATCTGATATTGAAGGTTATGAAAAAATAAAAAGGAATATGAAGAACACCATAAATGTGCATATCATGAATGTATGCATTATAATAATAATATAGAAAAAAATAAAACTGATTCATCATTTATTTCTACATATCTGTTATGATTGGGCTCAGAATGTTTGGCATCCCATATTCACCTCAACAAGTTGGATCAATTTATTTTAAAACACCATTTGCTGTAAATAATTTTGGTGTTTGTAAAACAGGAGAAGAAAATTGTCAACTAATTACATAATTGCTGAAAATGAGTTTCCTTTTGGGTTTCTAAAGGTGCTAATACAACATTAAACATGGTATTTAATTCTCCTAAAGGGATTATGTAAAAATTTTACAGATAACTACACTGCACAAAATAAGAATAACTTAACTCTTTGGTTTTGGTCATGGTTGATGATGTTTGGTTGGTTTGATGAAATTATAATTAATTTTATGATTCCTGGACACACCAAGTTCATCTGTGACTCATTTTTTGTCAAAATTAAAATTATACAGAAACTAATCTGTAAACATTATTGGTGATATTGAAAATATTGTTATTAATCCATCTAAAGGTAATGAAGCAATTAGATGTAATAGTGAATTGGGATTGGATATGACATGATTTTAACTCATTTTTAAAAGATCAAATCATATAATATTATCAATTTCATTTTAAAAAAGATGATATTGGAAAAGTTTATGTTTCAAAAGAAAAATGGAATTGGAAATCCTTTTTTACTTTTAAAAAATAATTTTGATTTTCTTGACCATCCAGAAGTTCTTTCAGTAGCACTGTTATCAGAAAAAAGAAAACTTGTATTCAAAAATTTGTCAACATGTTAGTGAACCATATAAAGATATTTTTGTTCAGAACCATAAATGAAAATTTTTTTTTGTTAAATTAAATGTGTGCAAATGATGATCATTTCCTAATTTGTTAAAGAAAATTCACTATTATAAAATAGTAAATTATAAATCACGGGAAACTAATATATAAATCGGAAATGATTTACGCAAATAAAATCGGAAAAACTGATCAAGTGGTCAAAACAGTTCAATTTATTCAAACACCAATAAAATAATTGACTCACGGAAATATTGGAAATATAAATATTCCAACATTCTAAAATGTAACGAATTACAAAGTCTCAGAATAATATTTAAACGAAAGAATTTTACATGACTCATGTTGACTAGAAATTACTTGAAAATAATTCTACATGGAAGGTTTAAATAATGATTAAGGAATATATTAATTAGTATAAATTAGGATTTCAACGAAGTTGGATAACTAGATGATAGAACCTCTAAAATGTATAAATACGTTGTAAATTTCTCTATCATGTAATCTTTAGTTTATTAGTTTTTTAGTAAACTCAAATATTATAATAAATAAACCTTGTCCTTGACCTCGACCTTGACCTTGTCCTTGACCTTGTCCTTGTTAACTTCAAACATTATATTTTCGTAATGATAATAAATCTATCCCTAACGACAAATTTATACTAATCCCGTGCATAATTATTTTCTCTTATTTTATATTTGTCTCTATTAATTTTATTATTTTTTATTTCTTTTCTTTTCTTTTAGTGCTTTTAGTGAGGTCAGTTAAGAGACTGAACCATAAATATAATAACCAGTGTAAAAAGTATCACGGCGGATACTTCAGATATTATAAATATCATTGAGACGTGCCGGCCCAGGCAGATAACAAAGAACTGCTGAGAAAACGTTACCGGAAGGGAAGTAAGGAAACTTGCCCTGTAAATAATTAAATAGCTTGAGC